ACTGTGCTCAGCCCCCTCTGTTCCTGGGCAGCTTTCCCTCTTTGGCTTTGATAATGCACTGTCCTCACTGTCTGGGCCCCTGGTCTTTCTCAAATGTTCCTTTATAAAAATCTTTCCAGGGTCTGAGCAGGTCTGAGCACTCCATGTTTGCAGTTTGGAGACACTGACAGTGACTTCACTGGGGTCTGCTACACCTTGCTCTTGGGGAGTCCTAACTCCAGTCCTGCATCTCCCAGAGTAGCCCTGATCGGAGGGGCTGTGCTTTGAGCACGGCAGGCTAGATGTCACCACTGACACCTGGTTCTAAGCCAAGGCCCAGAACTGCCAGGGTTTAGATGACCTGGGGCAGGTCCCCGTTTGCCCTTCTGCCCAGCTTTTCTCACACTCCCAGGCTTTGTGCTCCTCAGGTTTGGGAGCACCATGCAACTCTCTACCTGGAGTCAGCAGGAAGTGGAAGTTCAGTTTCACTGAAAGCATTTTATTGTCATGAAAACAAGAGGAGGTGAGGCTTATCTATTACTTAACTGCACTGTGACTTGGATAAGAGCAGAAAAGTTATTTAACCTCTAAACTTGGTTAAATGTAGGGACAGTCACATACCAACCTCCCTGGGATAGGAAGAAAAGAATAATGCAAGAGTCCACATAAAACATGCAGGACAAGCGGGCACCGAGGGGGCGTTGGCTGTGGTGAGCTAGAAGCATTCGGACTAATTTTCTTGTTTGTGAAACAGGAATTCCAGCACCTGTCTTCACCACCACACCCGGCCGTGCAAGGTCATATTGTCACAGTGTCCTGAGCCCTGCTGCCATGGCATAGGTATCCCATCTGCAGTCATGGGGCTCTTGGCACCAAAAAGCTCGTGTCTGCCTCCTCGTATCTGTGCAGGGACCATTGTCCCTGCCTCAGAGATGAGGGGACTGGGCCAGAGTATTTGAGTCACTTGCCCAAGACCACCAAGAAGATCATTGCTGGCAGGACTTGGTTTAAAACTAGGTTTGCCCACTCTGAAGTCCATGTTCTTAACCCTATTTTGTAGCACCTTTTTCAACCAGTCAAAAAATATCAGTTCTGCTATACATTACATGAGAAAAATGGGTCAGTTATAATACCTGCCAGTGAATTCAGAATTTTTAATGTGGGAGCTTTTTGTTTGTTTTGTCTTCTTTGAGTCATTTTTGATTTTACCTCTTTACCTTTTAATGCAGCATTTATGTATTGTATGTGGCTGAGCAGGGATGAGGACAGCGTGGAGGTCACTCCAGATCACAGAGGGCCCTGGTTGTTTAGACATTCTATGGCTGATGATTACTTCGATCTTTAAACAAGATTCCAGGGGCCAGGAGGGTGTGCCCATATACCTCATGAGAGGAAGCGTTTTTTATGAAAGAACCCCCTCAAACCCATCTGACCCTGCTGGGTCAGAGATCACTTCTGACCTTAAGCTCTTCTTCCCCTTTTTTCTTCACTCTGGGTTGTTGAGTGAGTTGTAATCACTCTCAGCTGCATTCAGAGCCTGTTGGCCATTTTGGATATTCAGGGTTAAACACCCTATTAAGGCAATCTTTGTTTTAAAAAACAGGAGCAAGGGAAAATAAAATATGCTTTCATTAACAAGAGAAAACAATAGTAATTTCATCTACATGTTATGGTTGGGTCCTAGATTCAATGAACTCTGAATGAGATGGAAAATATAATAAGCATGATTCTGAAAATTGAATAATCAGTATTACCCATAGTTCCAATTGTAATTGATGGAAAAGCAGAAATAAAATAAAAGGATTGTTTGCTGTTAAACATTTCTGAGACTGTCACCTTAAAAATGGGTTTATTTCTCCAAATGATTGCCAATTGAAATGCAGAATAAGAAACATGATTTCCAAATTCAAAATATCGAATTTAAAGTCGATTTTGAAAAAAAAAGACAAATCCAGATACTTTTAAATTTATAGGATTAATCTTCTGTCTTTCCTCCAATAACAAGTAAATTGAATCTGCAAAATTATGTTCAGTATATGATTTACAGCTGTGTAATTATTGTTTAAAGATACATGTCTTCAATTTCTTCTGTTTTCTTTTGAAACTCAAATCCATTTCAAATCTTTTGTTAATAAGCAATTTAGTTCTCAGTGAATGCTTTCTTAGTGTTGGTAATTAAGTGTTATATTTTCACAAAGGAAATAATGAAATACAATCTCATCCAGAAAGAACATTCTAAAACATTCCACTGAGTGCAAAACATGACCCCACACTGTTAGCATTTCTTTTGGTAAAGCCAACAACAATTCTTTGGGCTCTTTTACAAAGATCAGAAAAGGAAGCCTGGATTCTCTGAAGGTCTGTCCTTTCCAGGTGTGATAGTTGAGCAAATACTGAAGCAACTCATTAGCAATGTAAAAGGAACATACAGCACTCCAAGTTCATTACATGATACTTGACATGAGCTCTTGCCAATATGATACAGGTTTTCTTCTTAGGCAATAAACACCTTCAGGATTTCTGCACACTTGATGCAATTATAGAAGTGATTGCTTTTTTTTTAAGGTAGAAAGTCGACAATCAAATTAGTTAATTGACGAATATACATGCATGGGTCTCCTCCTGATCATTGGGCAGACACTTTGTCGAAAGATGCAGGAAATAAAAATCTGATCAAGATGGAGCCCACCCCCATGAATGTTCAGTCAGGTCAAGGAAACA